ACCACGACGATCTCATCTACCTGTTCTCGCTGCGGTACCGCTTCCCGGACGTGCCCGCCGCCGGCGCGGACGGTGACGTCGTCGACAAGATGACCGCCATCTGGTACACATTCGCAAAGACCGGGTACGTTTGCGATGTACATAACATCGCCACATTTACTGTACCAGTGTACTATGTAATTGTCAAAGAAATAAAATCACTGCCAGGTGTAATGAAACTATATGAAACGTGATTTGCTTGTTGCAGTGATCCGAACGCGTACGGCGGACTGGACCTGCCCGAGCTGAGCGGACTGCACTGGCCCGCCATGACGCCTGACAAGCGACACTACCTCGAAGTCAACAAACAATTGTCAGTTAAAACGAATCTTAAAGAAGATCGAATCAAGCTGTGGGAGGAACTGTTTCCTATTGAATATTAATATAAAATTATTCATGCTCTGTATCAGTGATTTTTTCCATTATATTTTTTGAAAATAAATTTGTTTTTTTTTAACAAGTTGGTCGTGAAATTGTCCAAAAAATGTGGAACGCTTCACGATTTTGCGTGTCATCCTTGCGCAGGGGCCATGCTAATCTTCTCTGTATCGTTCCAATTTTAGTATATGTACTGCCGAAGCAAGTACACTTGCTAAAGATGTCCGAGTGTATATATACTCACGGGACAGAATAACTTTGATAGCGTGTTTTAGGCCAAGTTTTAAAAAAATCACAATGCGTGTATTGTTATGATAAAAATTCTTTAATTAACTATAATAAATTTAAGTACCTTAACAGCTATTTTTAGCATTTATAACTCTGAAGATTTACATTGAATTTTATTTCTTTAAACGATAAAATCTTTGATCAATTTAGGCGACATCTATGATACATAATGTGAAACTCTAACAAGGAATTTGAAAAAAAAATGTATTTGATATCGTAACGTTTTATGCACATAAAAATATTTAAAAATCATACAAGTAAATCTTACTAATATTATTAATGCGAAAGTTTAGATGTTTGTTGTTTGTCGCCGGCTTGTAAACGGCTGAACGGATCTCGATGAAATTTGTCAGAGGTGTAGAGCATAGTCTGTAGTCTGGAAGAACACATAGGCTCCTTGCTTTTATTTGTTTTTTAGTTCCACGTCAGATTTAGTAAAATTGCTGAGAATTCATTTTGCTGTTTTAGTTGTGCCGTACAAGACGGGTGCTGGCCCGCGGCTCCAACTACTCTGATCTAATATATTTTTGAAAAGTAGATACTTTATAATTACTAATAAATAGTTTATTGTGTTGTTTTCTTCACACTTATTGTGTGTCAAGTCAGTATGTCTATACTAAAAAAAGGAAAGATTTGTATTTATATGTTGAAATAACTCAAAAACTAATGGGTCGATTTTAAAAATTCTTTCACCATCAAATAACTACGTTATCAGTAACAACCAATATTATAAATTTGACAGTTTAGATGGATGGATAAATGTTTGTAGTCTAAACGGCTGAACGAATTTTGATGAAATTTGGTATTGATGTAGAGGATATTCAGGTAGAACAGGCTACACACTTTAGTATTTTTTAATTTCACGCTGACGTAGTCGTGGGCGAAAGCTATTAGGATATATTACAATGTGTATCGCAGTAAGGTGAAATAAAACTCTTATATTACGGTATAAGTATATTTACATGCGGCTTCCTGCCGAAGTACTAATGTGTACAATAGATTACATCAATTCCAAGTCTACAACAAGTTACACTACAAGCTACCGGCTCGAGGCTCGCTGCCGCACGACACGTCGGTATTCTGATACCAGAATACAGCCTTATTCTGCTAATAAACAGCGGCCACAGCAGAATACGGTCTAAGACTTTGCCTATTTTCAGCACCTTATTACATCAATAGTACCTATTTCTTGTATCTAAGATATAAAATGACCAAAATTAAATGCTACATATGAAGTATATAAGACAGAGAAGGGATTAGGGAAGGGGAAAGATATAAATACATTAATTGAGATTCATTTCAAATAAACTAATTATTTGCTATACTTTGTGTCGCTACAATATTTGAAAATAGGCAAAGTGGGAAATTACCAGAACCTTATATGCTAGACCGTGAGCAGCGACCCTCGCGCTCTTTTGTACTCTATATACAAATATATTACTAAGGATACGCTTTTGCGTTTACACTGTAACATAACATGTACAAATCACCACTAAGTACTAAACGAAATCCGGCTCGAAGGACCATAGCATTCGACCAGCGAAAAATACGTTATATTGAAAATAAATGGAGTAGTTCATAAATAATTTGAAAAAAAAAAAATTAAATACAATGAGTATTGTTTGCAAAATCTGCAAGAAACTTAATATTAAGTATAATTGTGATTTATGATTGAGACAGTAAATGTTAATAAAAATTTTGATAAGAAGATTAACTACATTTTTAAAAGATAAATAAAGTTGCGACTTTAGAGCGAGTTTACACACGCCAGTAACTGGAACATTAGCATGCCAGCTACTGACATGTGTAAACACTTCATTCACTGGAACTTAAACATTCGCGATTACAAATATACATACAAAAGTTTAGTTTACACACAAAATGATAATTAAAAAATAAAATTGTCTTGGAGTATCACAATATAGTTAATTAAATTACAAACATTACATAAAACAATACAAACATCTCAAAAGCATTTTCATATAAAAAACTTTAGTAAAAAATTAACTCTGAAAACTACTAAACATTCTTATAAATACAAAAAATACTGAGGCTATGGAAAAAAATTATCATATTGGGTAGGGTACTCGTGAGCTTTGCCGACGGCATTATGACGTCACACATGAAGCCTTAATCAAACATTGGGCCTATCCCTCTTGAAATTACCGTTAATTTTTTTTTTAGTACAAAACTAAGTAAAAAAATTCCTTCTTTTAAAAAATGTGATTTTTTACAAATCTGAAAAACCCATACATAAAAACCGTTACTAATTATCTCAAAAAAAATGTTTAATTTAGGGTTAACTAATGGACGCTGTCAAGAAAAAACCTAACAGTTATAGTCTTGACGTCTTGAAGTCCTCTCTACAAGAAATCTGACCCGGTGAGGCATTGCATATAGTTTTTCGTCAGTATTTATGTAAAAGGTAAATAGACAGACAAAGGAATAATAATATACGTAGAAAATGGCTTAAAACGATAACAATTACAGTACGAAAAGGGTTTTTTGTCACTGAGTTTACCAGGAGGGCGCTAGTGAGCTGTCAAAATTAAAAAAAAAACCTGAATGTTTTGCAATTAACAGAGTATAATAACTGGCTATGAATTAAAAATTATATGAATTTACAGAATGTATGACAAATTAAAAAATGCAAATAAATCTGCTTGTTCAAGCAAATCCATAATTTTTTCTGGCACACTTTGCTTTTATACATTCTTATATTCTTCATATACATATACAAAATATCGCAAAAAAAATCACAATTTTGTATCACCGGAAAAAAAATCGAAAAAACTTTAAAATAAAATAATTAAATTACTAAATTGTTACAAAATTACAAGTTTGTGTTGATTGTTCTAATTTCAGTCATAAAAATAGGATTTTTCTGAGTACATTACAATATACAATATCTAACGAAAATGTATAAAACACTGATTTAAAAAAATAATACAAAAAAATATTTTTATAAATATCACTGGCAGGTTGTACCAAATTTATTTTCAATAGAGATTCATGAATATGAGATTCTTTCAATTCTTAATTAAAAAAAAAAAAACACTAAACATCAAAGAAAAAAAGTTAAATTCGAGCCTTTTTTTGTTCGCTTTAAACTATCTAATAATTATAAAAGACGTATGGATTTATCACAGAAAACAATCTTGTTTGCTAACAAAAAATATCATTTCGCGGTAAAAACCATAACGTGCGTGACACTGACAGCTGTCAGCGATCCATTGGCCATAGACAATTTACTTTGTAAAATAAGTTTCTAAAAAGTAAAATTTAAAAAAATATAAAATTAATTCTTCATTTGTCATAAACCGGAGCATTTATTCGAGAGTATTTCCTAATATTTTAAATATTTGTTTATATCATCTTTACTTAATAGCTATTAGAGTTGAGTTACAAATAGATCCATAAATCTCGTTAATAATTTGAAATCAACATTTGATTTCAAACCATTTTTAGTACCTATTCCGATGACAATCGAAAAACCTTTATATGACGATCGAATATCTTTACATCGTGTACACAAAGTAAGGATCGAAGATAGATTTGTGCGGCGTATTGTAGTGTGGCGAAGTGGCGATGTGGCGATGTGGCGATG